TCTAAGGGACTATATTAAATTCGTTCCTTTTCTTTTAAAATTCGATATATCCATTTTTATAATTCTTACCTTCTCCCCTATCCCTTTTCCTCTCGTAGAACACAACACCTTTCATGCAGTACACCTTTTTTCTTTCTCTCTCTCTCTTTTAATACTTTATCCGTACGATGCATATGATTATGTACAATAAAAAAAAAAAAAGGGTATATGGTTGATGAGTCAATAAGAATTCCTTTTTATGAGAAATAAGAATTATTCTTTTTTACGAGGCAAACCCCCATTTATCTTGTCTTTTTTTTTTCTTTTTTTTTTTTTTTTAGATCTCATTCAATAATCTATGAAAGATGTATTGCTCATTGAAGACTGAAAAATAGAGTTATAAATGTTGAATTGGCCATAACAAAAAGTAGTAATGTCGATGCTTATCTAACGATAAGCAGCTTCTTCTTCCCTCCCCGTTTATTCCGTTCAACGATAAAAAAATCGATCAAGGATAATACATGAGAGGGTGGGGGAAAAATGGAAAGCGTCTCTTCTCTCCTTCTTAAATTAATAAAACGATACATATAGAAAAGTCTACTTTTCTTGGAAAAAAAGCTTCTTCTACAGCCGTCCACGCGTAAATATTCTCAACGTCATCGTTTTTTCGTCATCGTCATCCGTTCAATGCACCAAGCACTGAAGAAGAAATATAGAGAAAACTTTTCGGTAAATACCTAAACACAAACTAGCATGCTCTGTGACGATGGAATATTCTTCAAGTTCTTTTTTACCCAACGGGTATTTAAAAGGAAGTTTATAGAACGGCATCCTTATACCAAACACACCGAGGATTACGAACTTCATTACAGTACGCGTTTTTAAAAATAAATAATGTTTTTAAACTTTCCTACGCCGTTGAAATAAGGAGCTTATTACCGCAACAAAGAGCATAAATCGTGCCGACATTCGGTATGTGTACGAAAGAATAATAATAAATATAACAAGGAAAACGAAAAGAAAAAAAAAAATAGAAAAAAAAGGAGAAAGAAAATGGAAGAAAAAGAAAATAGAAAAATAGAAAAAAAGAGGGCGGTGGTGTGGATGGGTTAAGTTGCGCTGGGAAAGGGAATGAAAAAACGTCCCTAGAAAAACGTGTAAACCGTAAGAAGCATCGTACGATATCATATATTTATCTTTAATACTTCTTTCTTCGTAAGATCAAAGTTTCTAAGAGATCAAAGTTTTCTTTACCTTCGATGGGAATATTCTGGTAATCAGGAAAAAGAAAAAAAATAAAAATAAAAATAAAGAACAAAGAAAAGAAAAGTCGATCAAATTCGTTCGAGTGTTTAAGAATAAGATAGGATACACTAGAGTCCGGTAAAATTCGTAAAACTAATGTGACGGGAACGGAATTTAGTCGTAACGTCAAAGTTTAACATCTTGGATAGATAGTTTCTCTGAGAAGGAATGCGACCAGGAATAGTAACTGTTAGAAGATCGAAAAGTCGCATGGAGTTTACTAAGAATTTCGAATAATTGAAGAAACCTTTAGAATATTTTAGAAGAGGTCAAACTAAATTTCCACGATTAATTGAAATTTCAAAAGGAAACGAAAGAGAGATCTTAATTGTGAAAAGGAAGAAAATGTATGAACGAATTGAAACGTAGAAACTTAATTGAACGAACAAAAATTCTTATAAAAAGAGATCCTTTAAAAGAAATGTTATCACAGGTGAAAAGAATGATTAGAGTCTTAAGTATGAAATACTTGTCGCGTATATATCATGCGACATAGGTGAAGTAATCATCGGAGGTTGGTATTTCTCGGATAGGTATCCCTTCGAGGATTAATAACGCCTTATCCGGTCGAGCACGAAATTAATGTCCGAGCTTGAAGATAGTAGTAACACCGAAGATGGGAAATGTGTTGGTACGTGTCGAACCACCCCAGTTCTTCCTCTTACAGCGATAAGGATCTCTCTCTCTCTCTCTCTTCTTCTCGGTTCGCACGTAATTTCTTAATCACTTCGATGATATTGAATATTCAACGAAATTAATCTTCGAAAGAACGATGCGATAATTAGCCTCGAATTTCAATTAAAATTGATTTCCCGTCTTTATTTCATTTATCAATCTTTCTCTCTCTCTCTCTCTCTCTCTCTCTCTCTCTCATCTTATATTATAAAATATACAGTATACTGAGAGAGAGAGAGAGAGAGAGAGAAAGAGATTGAGATGGATGGTATCTGTTGGTAGGAATGACGTAAAGTCGTGGAGAAATTAATGCGGTTAGCTACAAAGCCGGCCAGGCGTGAAAGCATTGCCGGACGCCTCGAAGTATTTCGGCCAGAAGTAACGACTTGATTCCGAAAGCTTTCGAGTGCTTTGGTCAGGAGAGGGCTAAGTCGTACCGTAAAGTTTGTATGAGAGAGAGAGAGAGAGAGAGGGAGGGAGTGGTAGCGTTGAAGCCTGGACCCGTTAATGCACCGTAAATCGTTCTCTCTCTCTCTCTCTCTCTCTCTCTCTCACTCGTCTGGCATTCCCCCACCACCAATTTTCACTCACAACCACTGTAGTAACCTGAACGAAGAGACAGCGTGACCTCTAACCTCCCTCTTTGTGGCTTAATCTTACGTTTCAAGATGTGCTACGAAGCTGATAATGAAAGATGAATATGTGTACACATCTGGATGAATTCAATGAGCACTCTATTATGACGTATAAATAGAATAGGTTATAGTGTCAAAATTTACAACAGGATTATTATTCTTTTGTTACGGAGATAAAGAGATTATTTTCTAAGGTCGCTAAAACGAAATGTTAATTTATCTTTAATAGATGATATTTTATTAGGTACTTCTTGAATATCATTTAATGGATAATATTATAGGGATTTTCTTTTTTTTTTTTTTAATATCTTTTTCTTTTTATCGATATTCTCATATCCTTTCATAACGTTAAAGTATTAAGTGCTACTTTTTTTTTTTTCTTTAATAAAAAGTTTGGAAAGAATGAATAAAATTTCATTACAATTCATCATTGAGAAAATAAAAGTAATAATCTTATCTCAATATATTCAAAGGGTCATTGTCAGGATTAATGAAGAAGTGCAAACGATGATGTCCAAGTATTTTTACACTTTCAATAAATTTCTATTATCCATTCATTATCGTTCTTTTTTCTTTTCTTTTACGTATTTTAATTACCTAAAATATGATCGAAGATTTAATTAACTCATTTGATAATATTAATTCAAAGGTATTTTTTTATCAAGAGAGAGAGAGATAGAGACAGAGCAGCAACTACGATGTAACTATTTCATCTCTTTGTCTCTCTCTCTCTCTCTCTCTCGTTATGGGCGTAACACGTCGGAGAAACATTTTATTTGCAGTGTCGGTATTACGTACATATGTATGTACATAGTTTAAGTTCCTCACGAACGCGCGTTCTTGTTTTCTCGTCTCGAAAAACATCATCGTCGTGTGGGGAACGTCGACGAGACGCAATTTTCTCCGAGGATCATCCCACTTTGTTGGAATACTTTGTTTTTTTTTTTTTTTTTTTTCAAGTACCCGCGCATGTCGAAAAGGAAAGAATGAAAAGCTGAGTGAAAGGAAAAAAAAAATTATAAAAAAAAAAAAGGAAGAAAGAAAAAAGAAAAGAAAACAAAAGAAAACAAAACACACACACAAAAAAGAGATAAACGTAACAAAAAAAAAATAAAAAAAAAACAAAAAAAAAAACAGGAAGAAGAAACAATATATAACGTACATAAAATGTACTCCCTTTTCTCTTTTTTTTTTACTAAACAATGTAACACGAAAAAGAACGTCGTCGAGCGGGTCAGGAAACACGAGCGAAACAACAAAGAAATATTTTTTTTTTCCTTCGGGCGTTTTCTTCCTAGCGATGATAATTAGGCGCGGCGACTCGTGCTATATATGCCACTCTGCCTTAAAATGAAAGCAAAAGGCAAGGCAAGGCAAGGCAAGGAAAGGCAAGGCAAGGCGAGAAAATCAAAAAGACGAAGAAGAAAGAGGAGGAGGGGGTGGGGGATCACAAAAAGTAGTGGTGGGAAAATAAGAAGAAAAGAAAATGGAAATGCGAGGCATTTAGTTAGATACATACATACATACATACACATACATAACATATACGTATCTTCCTTAGAAATCTCCCCCGAGATTTTTGTATAGTTTCATAGAAAGTCGTGACCGTAAAAAAAAAAAAAAAAAAAGAAAAAAAAAAAAAAAAAAAAAAAGTCTCCGAAGATGTCGACTGTTTAAATACTGAACACATTTCTGTCCTCACTATTTCCTTCGATATCGCGCACTAACGTTTTAAACATTCACATGTCGTCCTCGATATTTATACATCATTTTTTTTTGTTTTGTTTTTTTTTTGTTTTTAATAAAGTAAGAATATTAACTGTAACAGATTTAATCGTTGGATACGACGAAGGGGAACAATTTTAACAATGACTCATTTCTCACGTTACTTGTCACGTTACTTTTTCTCATAGTCATCGACGGGAACGAGTGGTGTTCAATCCTTCCCGAGGAAGGACGTTTAACAAAGAAAAAGTGTATGAAGAATAAGAAGAAAAAAGAAAGAAAAAAAAAAAGAAAAAAGAAAAGAGGAGAAGGGGAGAAAGCAGAACTGGAGAAGGACATGTAGAGAGAGAGAGAGAGAGCGAGAGATAAAGAAAGAGAGTAAGAGAGAGAGCGAGAGATAAAGAAAGAGAGTAAGAGAGAGAGCGTATCACGACTTGGCGAGTTGCCGATAGGGAAGCAAGAAAAGCCGGGAACAAGAAGAAACAGCGTGTTCGATGGACGATCTTCGTAAGTCCTTTCCTCCTCGTGTTCTTGGCGACCACCAACGGCGACGTGACGAAAGGAACGAGTTAAGAATGAGAGAGAGAGAGAGAGAGAGAGAGAGGAAGAAAAAAAGGACGACGACAAAGAGACAAACAAAAGATTAAAAAAAAAAAAAAAAGAAAAAAGAAAGTCACTCACCTGCTACGAGGATAAAGATGAGAGTTGTTTCTAGCCACAGGTGTCGAGGAGCCATTTCGGAATTTGCAGAGAAACCTTATATGTGTTGTTCTTGTTCTATTCTTTGGAGGGGGGGGACTTGCCGCACTTTTCTTCTCACTATTACCCCCCACTCTCTCTCTCCCTCTCCCTCTCTCTTTCTCTTTTCTTCTCTTTCGCGTGTCAATCGTGACACAAACACCACTTATTTTTTTTTCTATTAAATCCAAAACAGAATACACAAAGCACGAGTATCTTTCTTTATCCTTTTTTAATAGAAAATAACACGAAAAGAAAATGAACTTTGGTATTACTCCTCTCCCGCGTGTTCTTTCTTCACGATGCTACACGAGCTCCAACTGTTAAAAAAAAATCCTTTCCTCTTTCTCTTTCGTTTTTTCCCCAATCCTTCGCGTATGAATGACAACTCCCTCTTCACTGTAAGAGGATGAGAGGATCGGATAAACGCAAGGCGCCCTTCTGATCGCGATCCAACCGAGCACACGGCGGCGGCTATTCAAATTCCGTTCCTCCCTTATTTTGTACAACAACACTATTTTATTTTCTTCTTTATTACGAATCGTTCATGGAAAATCTTTTCCTTCGTTTTTCTTCTTCTTCTTCTTCTTCTTCTTCCTCCTTTTTCTTCTTCTCTTTCCTTTTACCACGTGTTAAAACTTTTCTTCGAATAAACTTCTCCCTCCCTCTTCTATCTTTCTTTCCTCCTTTCTTTCTTTCTTCTTTCTCCTTTCTCTCTCCACCAAATTGCAAAGCAAATTAGAATAAAAAATACTAATAATAATTATATTAATAATAATAATAATAATAATAATAATAATAATAATAATAATAATAATAATAATAGCAGTAGTAGTAGTAGTAGTGGTGGTGGTAGCAATAACAATAATAATAATAATAATAATAATATAGGGCCCAAAGAGGACCCTTCTTTTCACTAAAATATCGATTTGCCCCGTGGCAACGCGACAACTACGACGCGAATCGCGAGGATGGGACTTTAAGGAGCGTTGACAGGGTAATTGAACGTATATCTGCACTGGATTGCGACGAACGAGACTGAGCGTCGCCGCGCGAAGCCGTTCCGTCGCGAGCCGCGCATGCGCAGACCGCCCTAAACTATCCCCACCAAAGTCAACCCTATGAGATACCAAAACCCCCCACCCCCGTTCCCGCCAACGACGCACGCTCCGCTTACTCTCTTTTTCATCTTTTTCTTCTTCGTCTTCTTTATCTTCGTCTTTCTCGTCTCCGTACTCTCGCTATCCCACGGTGTTCATCCCGTTCTCCCGCAACAGAACGACCGCGCGCCGTTTCTATTCCGCACCTCCTTTCGTAAGGAGTGCCTTTGCGGAGAATGCATATATGCAGAGATAGAAGGAGATAGAATAATGATGGGAAGAGAGAGATAGAGAGAGAGAGAGAGAGAGAGATGACGTGAATAGTTTTACTAATTTACGAGATATTATCTTTAGTCTTTTCCTTTTTTATTATTTTTTTTTTCTTTTTTTTTTTTTTTCAAAATGATAACTATGTTCTTATTTTTCTGCTTTTTTTTCCTTTGCTTTTTCTTTTCTTTTTTTTTTTTCTTCTTCTTCTTCTTTTTTTCTTCATAAAAATTAAAACATAGTTAATCAGATGATTCGTTTGTTTGTTGTTGTTTTTTTTTTTTATTATTATAATATAACGAAGTTAAATTTTCTACTAGTTGGAGTCCAATGAAAATTATTTCTCTTTTTTTTTTTCCTTCCTCTTTGTTTTTCTTTTCTTTTTTTTTTTCTCTTTTTTTTTTTTTTTCTTTTTTTTGTCCGATAGAAGATTAAGAGATTTAATAGGGATTTAAAGTTTAAAGAATTTTATTATTTAATTGGTTAGAAAAAAAAAATTAGAAGGTTTATTGTGAAATTGAAAAAAGTTTAATCGAAAAGAATTAGATTTAAGTATTACAGTAAATAAGTGTGACATTTTTTAATTAAATGAGATTGAGAATTTTTCAAATAAAATGATTGTTAGCGTACTTTGGAAAGTCAATTTTCTCTTTTCGAAACTTTATCTTCGCATGCTCATCCTATTAAAGCGGATTCTTAAATTCCATCAATATTATCCTATCGTATAAGAAAGAAGATAAATGTTTAAATGTTGAGATAAGTGTTAGATCTTTTTTTTTTCTGATTATGAAAATTTTGTAATATTAAAAATATATAATAAGACGATAGGTATCCTCATCGAGATGATATTATCTTAAAATAATTAGTTATTTTTTGTTTGTAACTTTTACGCCATAATTAGATCCGAAGAATGCTTTTATCTGATAATTAATCCGATTTCTAATAAAACTTTCATGAACTTTTACAGGTGAACTAATTGAAATTTTCCGTAATTCTTTTCTCACGTATATTTATATATTAATACTTTTATTTATTAATACTGATGAATTATAAATTTATCCCTTAATAATGCGAAACTCATTGATCCGTTATTATTGATTTTACATCATTATTTTTCTATGTATTCATTTATGGCATTCACAAGTTATATATATTTTAATGGATATAAGCTTGAAAATTTCTATTATTAGAAATTTCATTTACTCGAACACTTATCTTGATATTACCTTACTCCGATAATTATGTATCAACAAATTAATTTTAGTTCGGTCATAGTCGAAATCGAGTATACTAACTGTATTAATTATATTATACGTAAACAATAATATTGCCAATAGTAATCAATTTTCGATCAATGATACGCAATACTTGGAGAAACATGAACCGAAAAGAAAAAGTCCATTTATTTAATTAAAATATATCAATAAAATATATAAAATATAAAATGTGTCTTTAATATAGTACACTTAAACTATTTTACTTTTTCAATAAAAATCTCTTTGTTTTCCGTCCTGATACGAGTAATCAATTAAAAAGTTCGACTCTAAAATAGAAACAAATTAATAAAAATAAAAATTCATTAATATACACACACATATATATATACATATATATATACATTTTTTTTTAAATAAAAACTTACAACACCCTCATCGTCGTCGTCGTCGTCGTCGTCATAGTCGTCGTCGTCGTTGTTTATATTTTGCAATTAACGATAAAATCTGTAATTATAAAGTTTTACCTGACAAGCATCGATATTATATACTGGTTGATAAGTTCTTTTTCTTTTTTTTTTTTTCTTCTTTTATTCTATACTATTTATATATATAAAAAAAAAAAATAATATATTGAAACATGACGAATTTTTATCTTTACTAATCATCGAACGATAGGATTAGTTAGTGAAACTAATAATCATCAAATGATGGAATTTCATGATAATAACCGGCGCGATCGAGATTCCTAATCTCTCTAGCCTCCGATCAAGAACTTCGTAGGATTCGAAGTGAATGCTTTGTGTATCACCATGTACGGCTAGTAATATGAACATAGTTGCATATTAGCTCTAGCAACGAAATCGATAATCGAACGTAGTACGATAATCGGTGGAGAGTACGGTAACCGGATTGGACCGTAATAGATATTCGCATAGACGTGACATCGTAAATTTCTGAACGATATCAAACGATATAACGCGGCTCCTATGGTATAATGATCGCGAATAACGTTACTATATTCAAACATACGCAAAAGAAAAAAAAAGAAAAGAAAAGAAAAGAAAAAAAGGAATATATAAACCGACATAAATTTACTCTTCTAAATTTGGATAAAATATTAGAAATAGGGATATCTCGAAACAAACGTAATTTGTCATTTAAATATTTGCTCTTGTTCGCAAAAATTCATGAGAGACAGAGAGAGACAGAGAGAGAAAGAGAGAGAGAGAAAGAGAGAGAGAGAGAAAGAGAGAGAAAGAGAAAGAGAGAGAAAGATAGACAAGGGGGTGAAAGGCGGGAAAAAGAAGGAATGGTCAGCGAGAAAGAAGCTCTTTATGGCGTCACATCTAACCCCCCTACGATTTATCTTTTCCTCCCCCTTTTCTCGCAAGTTTTACTTCTCCCTTTGTCACCTTTTCTTTCTATAGTTTCCTCCTTTCCTGCGTCTCATGAATCTTGACTCCGGAAAAATCGGAAAAGAAAGAGACATAGAGAGACGAATGTCCCTAGAGTTGAAAACACGGTTTCTTGAAATATCGAAAGAACGTCGCCAGATCTCAAGGCCATCTAGTTTATTCCTATTTCTCTTCTATTCCTTTCTCCTTATTTTTCTTTTTTTTTTTTTTTTTTTCTTTTTTTTTATATATATATTTATATTCCTTCATTAGCATAGGGTAGTTTTTAATTTTCTTTTTTCCTTCTTTCTTTTCGTCCTTCTTCTCTCTCTCTCTCTTCTCTTTTCTTTGTACCTATTTTATTTTTATTATTATTATTATTATTATTATTATTATTATTATTATTATTATTATTATCATTATCGTATTATCTCAATGACGTTTGTACGTATGAAAAGAGGATAGATCTTTTAATAAGACACAGTGTAGACTGGTTGTGTAAAAAGGCGAGTTATTTCTTTCGAAAGGAACCATGGAAGATAAAGATTGGTACACGCTGCTAGGGTTCGGTCTCGGCTTCCAGAGCAATACTTTCACGAAGAGACAGGAAGCAGGCAGGAGCTGCTCGGACCAGCTGAATTATCGCACGAACTTATTTCTTCTTTCCTTTCTGTATCTATATAGTTATATACAATGTACGTACATACATGTAAATATATGCGTACGTATATCATTCTTTTACCACATTCTTATACACATATATATATACATATATATATATATATATAAATGCATGTATATATATATATATATATGTATGTATGTATATAGAAATTATGTATGTATGTACGTAGGTACATGGGCGAGAAGTACCATTTTATTTTCTCGTTCGGTCTACGGAACAAATATATGCGCTAGCTCGTATACCAGACGCGCAACCTCTGAGAGGAGAGGCATTAGGAAGGTAACTTATATGTGTTCGCTCGAGGACACGTGATTCAACGTGTGGGAGGATACGGTCGATGTAGTTGAAAGAGAAAGAAAGTGATAGTGGAAAGTCTTTCGTGTGAATGTGTGTATATGTCGCGAATAGTCCTAATAGGAAATAATATTTTCGTAGACGCAATGTCATCATCCTTAGATTTTTCATCGATTTTTCTATACTGCATCATTCTCTTATCTATTTTTTTTTTTTTCCATTTTTTGTCTTTCTCTTTTCTATTTCATATTTTTGGATTTTTCGTTCGATGCCTTTACGAAAATCGCCTTCTTACGTTATCACGAAAGGAGAAGGGAAAAAAAAAAAAAAAAAAAGGAACAAACCAATAGAAACTTCGTTATGTACGATTCTACGTGTTCCTTTTCTTCCATTCTTATTTCTTTGTTTCGTTTCCTTTTCTTTTCTTTCTTTCTTTTTCTTTTTTCTATTTTTTTTTTCTTTTTTTTTTTTTTGTACTTTGTTCTATCTTTTTCTCTCTCACGAGATTTCAACGACGAGTTATGGGTTGGAATGCGAGACGATATCGTTTTTATGACTGAAATCTTTGAGTATGCGAGACTATCGATGTTAGCCGAATGTTATACTAGTTGATAGATTTGAACGACGTTACTAGGCGAGAATATATATCCGGATGAAAAGAGAGGATCGTCGAACTCGAGTGACCTCGTAAA